GTGGCAAGAAAAGGGCAACAGAAAAAGAGATATACTCTCTGCTACCTCTTAAATGTTGATGGTTTCACTGCCGTATTGATACACAACATGACAGTTTTGCCTCCATTGTTCATGGAAATGTAGCCCTGTGGTAGGATTATGAGCCTTAACAAAGCATTACGTATTTCACATGTGGTGTGTTGCTCTTAATCTTGTTCTGTTCCAATAACACAAATGAAGTGTTGAACATCATTGAATAGAAACAGTCTCATCACTCAACAGGCTTACAATCTGTTTGCCTAACTAGTGACTCAATGTGCTGAATCTTGCAGCTGCAAAGCATTTTATTCATATTATTTTAAGAGTAGTAAGAGGTGACTAGAATGTAAGATTGCTAAGTTTGGGTAATAACAAAAATGTGACTTAATGGTATATGGTAAATGGAACTCAACCTCCACCTGCATGTGGTTATCTGACAGGATCACAGAATCATGGAGTTCGAAGGGGCCTATAAGGCCATCAAGTGCCTGCTCAATGCAAAAATTCAAATCAAAGTACCATATATGCTCAAGTATAAGCCAACCCGAATATAAGCCAAGGCACCAAATTTTACCTCAAAAAACTGGAAAACTTATTGACTTGAGTATAAGCCGAGGGTAGAAAATGTAGCAGCAACTGGTAAATTTCAAAAATAAAAATAGATACCAATAAAATTCATTAATTGAGGCATCAGTAGGTTAAATGTTTTTGAAGGTACTGCCCTTCTGAGCTGCAAGACACACTTCACTGCCTGAGGAGGGAGGACTCATACCAGATGCTGTGCTTATCTACTGCTGCGTAACAAGATGGACGGAGACGGAGGATGGAAGATATGCAGAAGGAGGAGGATGGGAGTGTCCTGGAAACGGAAATGCAGTGTACTTAACCCAGGTCACAGAGGCTGCAGGCGCCTGTAGATGAGCGGGGGAGTCCGGAGAACACCCGCACTGCAGGGGAGAACATGTAATTTTGACACTGACTCGAGTATAAGCCGAGAGGGTGCTTTTTCAGCAAAAAATTGTGCTGAAAAACTAGGCTTATACTTGAGTATATACGGTATATCTCAGAGACGGTTGTCTAATTTTCTCTTGAATGCCTCCAGCATTGGAGCACTTGCCAAGTCCAGAGGATCTTGGTGGCATGGCTGAATGGGTTTTAAGCTAACTAAATCTATCACTGGTGCAATCCAGTTTGTACCATTAATCACTGCCTGCTTAAACTAGCCACAAACTACAGATGTTCTGTCAAAGATATCACTTCAAAAGTAGCACCTAAATTGTTTTCAGTGCCTTCTTGATGACCCACTCTCAGTGTTTTATTGGGCTAAGAGAAATGATGTGAGAGCCTGGCAGTTCAATTATATTTCCCCAAAAAATATAAAGGCCAAACTATCTGTGGTAAGGATGAGGGACTCCAGACTATCCATCATTTTGGGCTTCTTCATCTAGCCACACACCATTCCCCATTATGCCATCATTCCCTGGCTTTTGTATAGTTTTCTCATTCTAAATTGTTGAAATGCCTCTTCTGAAGTTGAGATACTCCTCCTTCATAGAGGCAACTTTTCTGCAACTGGATTTGATTATTCTGCTCAAGAAGGCTCCCTGCCTTGCGGGGTTCTATGGGACAAGCATAATTATGGAAAAAGTTTATTGACTACTCTGTACATTGCTTTGTCGATTGCAGCTGCTTTGTGCCTCATAAATCTCACTGGCAGATCTAGCCTCTTATGCTCTGATGGTAGCTTCCAGCTGTATAAAAACCTCCACAAGGATGAAAGGGGTTGGCTGATGTGAAGTAACTTTCATAATGTAGGGCAGGACCTGGCAATCCACAGCAGGAGCCACTGACCCTTCTCTGGAGGAAAGGTGAACTGTTCTTTCCAGGCTGTGTGCTGTTTCATGCTATCCCTGTGCCAACAGCAGTGTGCTGAAGTGGTGCCCCAGTTCTCCTATGCTTAGTAAGAGCTCTCGCATATTAAACCAGAGCAATCACGCTGTCCGTCATGCCATTTTGGCAACCAAAGAATTCTCAACCGTTTCACCTAAATGTTAAAATTCCGTGGTCTGCTACTCTGACCAATAGCAGCAGCTAAAAAGTCAAGGATACATACTAGAAAGCAACAGGCAAGAGAATTGCTGCAAAATTGATGGCCACATCAAGGGACGCCAAAAAGGCAAATACCATGCCTTTTCTGTTGTGGCCCCCTAGTTTCTGGAGTAAAATGCCAACAGAGATACACTGGCTCCTTCCCTCCTTATGTTTAGAAAGCTGGTAAAGACAGAATTATTTATTTAAAGCTGCCTTTAATAACTGAATTTCCTGGATGCTATCATTTTTTAAACTCATTTGAGATTTTATAGGGTTATATTTATAGTTTAATTACTTTCTGTGGAATCACCGTATTTATTTTGAATGTGTTTTTTTTGTTAGTTTTAGTGTTTGAGGGTTGTAATTTTATATCTTGTAAACTACCCAGTGCAGTGCTTACACTAATGGGGAAGGTATAAAAATTGAATATATAAATACAGTAAATAAATGCACTGAATGACCATTAAAAATGACCGGGCTGACTTGCTATTAACATCACATCATGTAGTCAACATTTTAGATTAAAAACATCCGTGACAATGACGTCTCAACTATTTCATCACGTAGTCAAGCCCGAAGTGCGCGTGCACATGAGTATGTCTGTTTATATTCTGAGCTGAATGAGCTTTTGTCCAAGAGCTCACTCTAGTGTGCCCCTCTCTTCAGTCCATCTAGTGCTTTATCAAAACCTCACAATAAAATATTCCACAAGCTGTTTCTGGTTACAGCCCCATCCATGTTCATGCCAACAACCCATGGTAATTTCCTGTCTTGGGATCAGGGGAATGGCCTTGAATCAGTACTGGAGCTTTGGGAATGGAGGGAAGTGAAAATCTTGTTGCCTTCTTCCTGATCTTGAACACAGAAGAGTTTGTCTCACTGTAGCTTGTGCCTTCTTGAGCCATATCCTAAAAACAAATACAGTTTTGTATCAGTGTCATCTTCTAACCTGCAGTAAAACTGGAATACATCAGAGATTCCAACTGAACTACAGGAGAACAAGATGGGCCTTGTACACTGTACTGTACATGAGAGATATGCAGAAGTTTGCATAGCTGCATTCTTGGAACTGTAGTCCAAAACCACAGATCCTATATACACCTCTACTGTAGATCTGAGAGTGAAGTTTTGAGCTCTAAGATAATAATTCCATTCCATAGAAACAAATTCCAAGATAATTTGGCTATACCCGATTCTTCTGTGACTTACATCAATGGTTCTCCATCGTTGGACTCCATCTATTCTAGACTTCTGCTCTTAGAAGGTCTAAGCAACAGAGCCAACAGTCACAGAAGTACAAAATGATTGGCAAACCAACATTAAAAACCATTTATTTAGATCACTTCCATGTCATGATATTCTACAGAGAACAACACTAGTGATTGGCATCTGTCAGTAAGCCCCCGTTTTAGTGCAACAGTAACCGCAAGGGAAGTCCCCATTCATGCATGTGTTTCACATGGCTGGTAACTTACTAAAATAGGCTTACCCCATGCACTGCCCAGATGGTTGTACAGACCAGATGAGTGGGATATAAATCGAATAAAAAAAAACACACACAAATCATACAAGCAAACCAGTAGAAAGCTTCCTTAGGCAACAGGTCTCTCTGCACTGTTAGTCTAGACATCTTTGCCAATGTTTCATTCAAATCATGCTTGAGTTTCTCAAGAACTGGCAGTTTTTGCAAGAATGTTTCTAATTGTGCAGTCAGGCACATTATTTCTAAGACAGTCTGCTATTATTTCGTGCTTTTAGGATACTTGAAGGATACTTGAAGGACCACCTCCTTCCATATGAGCCTACCCGGCAGTTAAGATCTAGCCAGGGGTCCCTTTTGAAAGAGTCGTCCCTTAAGGAAGTAAGAGGGACGGCTTGTAGGCAAAGGGCCTTTTCGGCAGCTGCCCCCAGACTATGGAATGCCCTCCCGACTGAAATTCGTCTGGCACCGACGTTGATGACATTTCAGTGCCAGGTCAAAACCTTCCTGTTCCAGAAGGTTTTTAATTGAAATAACATCAACTGCGGGTTCTGATGGCAATTTTAATTGTATTTTAATCATTTTATCTTGTATTGTATCTTAATTGAATTTTAATTGTTGTAAGCCGCCCAGAGACCTCTGGGTAGAGTGGGCAGCATATAAATAAAATAAAAATAAATAAATAAATATGAAGTCTATAAGAAATTGCTTGTCTTTCTGGCATATATGTAATCCTTCTGACTGTCTAATCTTGAAGGCAGCAAAATAAATTTCTACATGTATTTGCCCTATAAACATGGGAACAAGCCAATGCCTGTGCTTTTGGGTCCATTTGCCATCCTATGAAGTTGTGCCAAGAAAATGCACTCTGTGCATGCCCCATAAATATGCAGTCTTTTCACTCAGGTGTGAGTATAGATAGGGTAGATTACCTTTTAATATTTTCTGATGTGCTGCTTTTTTCTTGAATGCTTATAAGTCTGTCTCCGCATTTGTCCCTGTATTTTGAATATTTTTTTCTTGTAACTATTTGGAACTTTTTTTTTTTACCCTTCTTGACCTTTTGGTTTGTTTTTCTTTCTTTTCTTTTAATAAACTACAAAAATCCCTTCATGCAGCTGTCTGTATTTTTGGCTAGAGGGTTTATGCTACTAAAAACAGTCTTTGACCAGCAGCTGGGGGGGGCGGGGACTAGATCAGCAGGTTAGAGGAGTGGTGAATGTCTCCTTGTAACAAGGTAAGGTATCCAAATACTGTATATTAAGGAGTCAACAATAAGACCCTTGTTAAAATACCCTTCTTCGATATTGGATATTTATCAGCCATATTCCACTTTTGGACAAGGTCTTGGATTGCTTGAGCTCCAGAGGTTCCTGGATGAAGCAGATTATCTAGATTTATTTCATTCCAGCTTCAGGCCTGGAACAGAGACAGCTTTGGTCACCTTGCTGGATGACCTACGCTGGGAACTAGACAGAGGGAATGCATCCCTGTTGGTTCTGCTGGGCCTCTCAGAGGCTTTCAACACCATCAACCATGATATTCTTCTGGGGCAACTTTCTGGAATGGGTTTTGGACAATGTTCTCTCTCATTTTTGGCTCCACTTGGCAGGGCTCTGCCCTGCGTGTGTGACTGGAACCAAAGGGGTGGAAACGCTAGCTGTGGGTCTGCTTGCTTGACACAGTACTGTGTGCACCTGACACAAATTGTGCTGCACAATTTAGAGGAAATGTTGGTCTTGGAGGAACTGTTTTACAGTGGTTCTGATACTTCTTAGATGGCCAAACTCAGAAGGTATTTTGCTTGACACCCTGGCCCTTGGTCTGTGGTGTCCTTCAGGGCTCAGTCCTGTTCCTCATATTATTCAGCATCTATATAAAACCACCGGGAGAGATTATCTGGAGTTTGGGGGTTCCATACCATCAGTATACTGGTGACACCCAATTCTATCTGTGCTTCCCTCCCATCTGATTCCAAGAAAGCTATTCCATGCTTAGATCAGAGTCTATTGTCAGTGAGGCAGTGGATGAGGACTAACAAACTGAAACTTAATCCAGACAAGACAGAGGTGCTCCTGGTCAGTCACAAAGCAAATGAGGGGATAGGGATTCAATTTGTGCTGGGGGAGGTGTCATAGATTTTCCCTGGGATTTTTTACTCCTTGATTCTAAACTACCAAACCTTATGTACTGGTAAAGAACGCAATGGCACATACTGACCTGTAGTGTGAGGCCTTCACTGATGGAGAAGGTATAAGTGAACCCACCCTGGCTTCTGCTTCCCTGGCAACCCCTGGCCTGTCGGAGCAGTGGTAGTTGGAGAGGCTGTGGGGGTTGCTCTTCATCAAGCATGGCTCGCCTTTTCAGGAGCAGCAGTTGATTTCGTAGCACTGCAGAGAGAGGGTTTCACTCAGAGCTAGAGGTGTGAAGAAATCTCAGTAAATTATTTGTCCTTGACAAGTAAGTAGTTTGGGACTGACTCTTGAGAGGCTGGAAATCCCAAATAGTATTCTAGTGTAACGTGCAGGAAATATCATTATGTAAAACTTATTATTTTTCCTCTGACAAGCAAAGCACGTAAACAAAGAGCAAGCACAGACACACTTACGAATTGATCAAAAAGACACAAACAACCCACCCAGTGCTTCTAATTTTTAAAAGTCCATGCAAGAAGGCCGCAGGTCTTGGAGTTTAGTTCTGCAATTTGCATTTTTGAGCACAAATTTATTATTTATGACTTTATTTATTACTTTGATTTATACACTGCCTCATTAGTGCCAAAGCACTCTTCTGGATGGTTTACAGACAATTAAAATAAAAAATTAAAACAATTAAATTAAAGCAAACAATTTAAAACAAAATTTTCTCACAAATGAAAAAACTCTTATCCTACATAAAACTGACAGAAAATGTATTTCCACATCACAAGCAAGAAGAAAAACAATGTTTTCTCATTCTCACACACAAGGAAGGATTTACATCACTATTTAAAGTTAATGTGGTATAGAGAGTGGACTAGGACATTGGAGATGACTAAATATATACTTTAGTGGACAGCCACTGTGGTGGCTAGAGTCCTGGACTGGGATTTGAGAAGTACAAGTTAAGGACCTTACTGAGCCACAAACATGCACCAGGTGAGTAAATGAAATATCCAGAAACTATTTCTTCTGTCTTTGAAAGATCTGGACCTCCGTATTAGAGCATATGCTTTGCAAGCAAATAAACAGGCAAAAATATCTCAATTTCAAGTGTTGAGAAGGAACTTGGTCATAAACTTTGGAGACTTTCTGATAATGAAGGGAAGATGCAGCACAAGCCTGACTCAATACTTGGCAGCTACTTATTCACAGCCTAGCCACAGTGACATAAACTCAGAAATGCTCTGCTTTTGTCTTAAAGTGATACTTCTACCAGGGCTTTGAAGAGTTAAAACATTTCTGGACTGCCACTCCCAGAATCTATGGCCAGGGGATTCTGGAACTGGTGGTGCAAAAAAAAAAAAACTTTTCCAAGCTCTACTGAGGATGATAAATACAACATGAAATTGGTCTTATTTCTTAGAAGGCTTATACAGTTTTCCTATACATCACAGCATGCCAGTGAAGTAAGCATGCATATAAATAGATCATTTCAGTACACACACACAAGCTCTATATGAACATACTTGCCACGTTCTTTCTTTGGGTTTCTAATTAACAATAAACCCACCTGGGACTTTCTGTGCACTCGTGGAAGAACACTTGATCCAATTTTTCCAGAAGGCAGCCCAGTATGGCAGCAGGAGGCTGAAGACTGAATTCTTCAGTTCATCAAATAAGCTCGGAGGAGGCAGTGGAATCTCCTCCTGGAGGACCAGCTCAGCTGCCCTGATAGCTCTGCTCAGCCTCTGCGTATCCATTGTCACCTGTCAGGCAAAGGGCAAACAATCAGCATGCTGGCTGTCAAAAGAAACCCTGGGAAACATAATCCCCTTTGCCTCTGCCCCTCTGTGGCCCCTTCCTGGCTTGCCAGTAAAGCATTAGTTGAAGGGTCAAGCATGTGCTCTCAGATGCATCATTTTCATGCCCCTTTGGCCTCTGCTTGGGTGCAGTCTGGTTTCTCTGCCCAAGGACTGAGCAATAGCAGCTGTGCTCAGAGCAGTCCCTAGATAAAATGAGTCAGGGCCTGTGAAAAGCTGAAATGATTTGTGCTACCAGGAGGCTGATGAAAGCATTTCATTATTTTGGAACTGCTGTTCCACAAGGAATGCCAGTTTGCTAAAAACTCTTAGCTGCATTTTGATATATTTCACACCTGCCCTGAACACCACTGACAGCTTTTAGTACTTCCTCTGTCCCTCAGCACCAAACCACTGCACTTTCCAGGTGTAAATGACACAATCCTATTGGTTATGCAGCTCAATTGGAGCAGGCTAAATAGGGTTGTTTAAGTTTGCTGAGAGGTCCAGTATGCCTTTTGGTGCAATCCCTGCCTCCACCTCAAGCAACTCTATTTGGCCCACTTCCCTTAAGAAAACAACCAGGAAAACCCCCACCATACTCTTTCTGGGAGAAGCTTTCAATTTAAAAGAAAATTCTAAAAGTAGCACTGATAGCGCTCTAATAGACTTCCTTCCTGTCTCTCCACAGAGGAGGAGAGGAATTTTTCAATTTTCATATATTGTGGAATGGGTGAGCTACCTCATTAAGGCGCTTTACGATATTGGGAAACTGAAAGCAGGAGGAAGATTTAGCGCAGCAAGCTACTCTTTGGTTTGATCCCAGTAATTCAAATATGTAGGAAACAAACCAAAGCAATGCCATCTTACCCACACCTATGAAAAAGTAGCCCCTGACAATTATGCAAAAACATGTGGGTAGGAACAGGCTGGTTCATGCTGATACTTACATCATTGGGTTGCCAGCAAAAGGAGCAAAACAGCCCATCCCCACAGTGAACCAAACAGCAAAATAAGACAGGGTCTCATATTAATTTTCGCTGCAAAATGCATTAGGGCTTATTTTCAGGGGATGTTTTATATTTTTTTCATGTATATTTAGTCAAATACAGCCATGTCATCTTCTTCTGGTTACTGTATAATGGTGGAGGGCGGGGTTTCACTTAACTGGGGCTTATTTTTGGGGTAGGGCTTATATTACAAGCATCCTGAAAAATCATATTAGGGCTTATTTTCCGGTTAGGTCTTATTTTGCGGTGAAACAGGGTATATTTAGCTACATGGCATAGTTATTTGGTGTGTCTCTATGGTGACAAAACAGGGTATATTTAGCTACATGCCATAGTTATTTGGTGTGTCTCTATGGTGACCACTGAGGGAAGCAAAGAGTCCAGGAGCACTCGTGGGATTATACCATGCTGCCCACAGATCCCCAATGCCGTTCATACGGTTAACTTTTTTTAATTATAAAAAGGAAAAATGTGATTAAAAGCAGAAAAGAAAACCACAAGCACCAGTATCTGTAAGGAAGATGCTGAGCTAGCATCCAAGGAGAAGCACTGTAATAGTAGAATCACAGAACTGTTTTGGAAGAGACCCAAAGTGCCATCAAAACTCAGGAAAAGCATGAAATCCAAGAAGAGTGACAGCTTCATGGGAGTAAATGCCTCATCTTCGCACTCTATTGCTAAGGTGAGCCTGCATGAGTTTAGCGTGCTGTAGAAGTTTCCCTTGGTTCAGCATATTGCCTGGACTTTGCTCTTTCCCCGCTCTTTTCCAAAAACTTAGTTCATTTTACTGCTAGAACTGTTCAAGTTATTAGATTCTCTTCCTGCCCCATTGGTTTTTATTTTCTTGTTTATGCAGCGGTGTCACTGCTGAAGTTCATAATATTTGCCTCCTGCCTTGCTGCTTCTTTGTTTTGCAGGTTAGAGGTGGGCAAATAATTGTATCACAGCAAACTCTTATGGCTCTGGGCAACCCTCCATCCCAAGACACAGCTGTATGCACTTCCCCTTTCATACGAAGGGGCTTTCTCCAGGATCCCATAAATACTGGCACAGACCCAAACAAGGATTGGACTGCAGTTATCTTGAAAAGGGCACAGGTCAGTTTGGACTCTGTCAGGAAGGTACAGACAGGGTAGGGGGGGGCAATGTACATCTCTAGTTTCAACCCATTCACCTATTTCTCCTTCCTTCACTCTTTAAAAGCACACACATTGTCAAGAAAGAAAAATAGCTGGTGATGGTTCCTCATCACATTTGTTTATGTTTGAAATGGAGTACCTGGCTACAGCGCCAGTATTTGGGAGTTTGATTCCCCACTATGCAACCTGGGAGAAAAGCCACCCTATGCAGTCTTCGACAAACTGTACGGTCCCAAAGCACTACCCAAAGGTGGAACTAATAAACCACTTCTGAACATTGTATACTTAGAAAATCCTGGGAAAAGTAATTGTAAATCAGAATCAATCTGATTACACATAATTATTTATTTGTACTTCTCCTAAAGAGCCTTCGCAAGTCTCCCTGCTATCCAAGACAGGCTAAGTTACTTTTTTTGAACTACAGCTCTGGCTGTACTAGGATGAATATTCTGGCAGCTGAAACCCCCAAAGCAGATCGATCCATTTCTGCCTGCTGTACTGCCCAAATCTACCTGAAGCCGGGGCTCAATCTGAGAGGTGAGGAAACAGTCGCGGATCACACAGACTTTTTTCTTCAGAAGCGCCATGTCAGGCCAGGCATGATGAGCATTCTTGAATTTCTGTACTTCCAGTAGAAAATGCAGTCCATTTTCCAGCACAGGAAGGCCATGAACCTGGAGGTGTTTCAGAAAATGGAGCATTTCAATAGTGGGAGAGCCCTCAGCTGCCTTCCTGAGAGACTGCCAAAAACAGGCCTTGTCTTCTCTACTGGGTTGAACTGTGGCAGCTGCTGATCCAGTTTGAACTTTCTGACTCGTTAAATGCTTGAGAACAACTTTGGCAGCTATTGATTCAAGGAACCGTTCCAGCTTCTTCCAGCGTTCTTCGGTGATTTGTGAAGGCTCTATCCTGTATTTCTTCAGCTGTTCGCTTATCTCATCCCAAAACTCCTTAAAAGCAGGTGCAACAAAGGAACACAAAGCAAGTTGGATTTCATTCCAGCTAACATCGCTTATTTTATTCTGGACCAACTCTTTCTTTAACATCATCTTCAGTTCTTTGGGGAGACAGGGGCTTGATCCCAGAGCCCCTGGCTTGACAAACATATCTAGGAATTTCATTGCACAATCCAAACGTTTTTTCTCATCCTGGCAGGCCTCCACTTCCTGGAGCAATCCCAGAATCCCTTCCAGCTCTACAGCCTGCATTTTACGAGCTGCCTTGCTAAACACATTCAAGACAACTGTGTTACCAAGCACGTCTGGTGGATTTGGAGGGGTGGGAGCATCCCGAGGGGATGGTGATCTTTCTCTACCCCCTTGCTTAGTAAAGTGTGACTTGGGAAGTGCCTTCTTCCTATGCCTTTTCCTGTACAGCTCTTTTCCTTTTGGGTCATTGACCCAGAAATTCTGACTCTGCTCTCTTAGCCTGCAAGAAGAAGGGCATACAAGTAAGAAAAACTGCAGCACAGAAACAGACCTAAGATTCAAAACATTTGAGTAAGAAGCCTCCCCTCTCTAACAGAACGTTTGCCAGGAGTTCAGCAGAAATATTTATTACCCAGGAGATTTAGTGAAGCTGTCTTCTAGTCAAGTACAAATGAAATGCACATCCTGTTTGAAGAGCAAGTTGTCCAAATCACAGAATGATGCATTCGCTTGTAAAATGAACACTGACGGCCACACTTGTGAGTTTCAAAGAATATCTTGGCAAGAACAAGGGAGCCAGAAGGCAGAGGGAGAAAGGGGAACACGAGCTGAAAATGCACTCTGGGACCCAAGAGGAATATGCTGAGCAGGGAACGTAAGCCCTATTGGAGTTTAAGGCCCAGATCCGTTTATAGAAGCTTTTCCTCTGTAATCATGTGTTCAAAATATTTCCTTCTTCCTGTTTAACATAAAGGAAGAGTCTCAGCTACTAAATCTTGGTCGTTCCTTTGCATCCTCACCTCAGAGCCTTTAATTTCTCACTCGTCTTAGTTATATCTTATCTATAAATGTAGGAATTGGCCCTCACAACTGACCTGCTCCTGGACAATCCCATGCCTGTCAGCTCAGATGTAAATCTTACTGAATTCAATGAGATTTATTCTCCTGTAATTCTGCATACAACTGCAGGCTGATTTATGCATTCATGTATATAGCTCAAAACTTTTTTATTTTAAGTTTTGCAGTGGGAGGTATCGACTGACTCCACTAAGGACTACTATATTTGAGATGAAATGATTTTAGGCAATATGACATCTCTGTATTGCTTAATCTCAGGGTGCCTGTTTCAGACATTCACGACATCAACATTACAACAACTACTTGATGACCAGTGAGGTGCAGCAGTTAGAAGTTGGATTAGAGTTGGGAAGAATAAAGTTACCTCTTCGCTAGGGTCAGGAAGATCACAGAGCAATTCATTGGCTGGTCACCATCTCTCAGTATATTCTGTCTCACAAGATTGTTGGGAGGATAAAAAAGGGGAAGGCAACCATCTACACCACCCTGAAGACCTTGGAAGAAGACCTCTTTAAGATGATGTCGATGATCCTCTTCTCCATAACCAACCAATCAATTACTTTCCATGTCAGCTGGAAACACTCTAAATCTGACTGAAGGAAACTTCATTGGATAATGAAGTGTCAAGGGGATGTCATTGCTTTGCTTTGCTCAGGAAAGCTTCATGGCCCAATCCCTTCATAGCCTTGCTGTCCCTTTGGTTTAAACCACCCACCATAAATAGGGAAGTTAAAAACATTCAGGACTCCATGGAAAGTTCCTCTTGCCCTGTGACCTGCTACTCACAGCAGCCATCCAGAGGCTGCAGTGAAGCCTGTGGGCTGGGCATGAAATCAGCAATTCTGTCCTGCCTCTGCTCCTTCAGCAACTGGCATTCTGCCCATGAACATGAAGGTACAGCCATTTATTGACTTATTTAAAATATTTTTACCATACTTTTCGTCCTGCTACTCACAGCACCCTTCCAGAGGCTGGTCATGAAATCAGCAATTCCGTCCTGCCTCTGCTCCTCCAGCAACTGGCATTCTGCCCCTGACCATGAAGGTACAGCCATTTATTGATTTATTTAAAATATTTTTACCATACTTTTCGTCAGAAGTATTGTAGGGTTGCTAACAATGGAACTTCTAAACATTAACCAATGTGCATAGCACTTGCCATCAAGAGTGTTTCGATGCACTGGATTATGGTCTCAGATTATTGGAAAGACAGAATTTACCTTGTTGAACTCTAATTTCCAGAAACATATTTCAGCACCAAGGCCAGGGCTAGAGAAGGTGTGGCTCCCATCATATGTTGGACTGCTACTCCCATCATTCTTTATTATGGGCTATGCTGGCTATGGATCACTAAGGCTGCATAACAGCAACGCCTGGAAAGCCATGCAGTTCCCACTCCCAATTTAGTGCCATCCTTGATTGATACAAGAATCTCATTACCTCTTATCTCCTTCTTGCTTTATACTCCCAGTACTTTGGGCTTTCAGGTGAGATGTTGGTACACAGTAGCTGCAAGAAACAGAATTGGGTTGAGAACTTATTTCACCTGCAATGATATAGTTTAAAAATTATTTATAAAGGCCATTAACTCCTTGGGGAAAAGACACCTAATAGCTCGAACTATTTATCACCTTTATTTCTTATTTAATTTTGTTGATAAACATGTAACAGAAAGCCATCTTAAGACTCACTCAAGGAAAGTTGTGACTTCATAGTGAAGATAATCAAGCCAAGCGCTACCCAGAACAGCCAATACATAGCGAATTACAGGTTCAAAAGTGGAAGGTTTCAAGTCTCCACTCTGCGTGGAAAGAGTCCTCTCCAGATGCTTGACATATTCTAGCATACTTGAGCTAAGTCCTGCAGGGAAGATGGACACAAAACACAGCATTGGTTTAGGACTCCAAGGATGCCAGATTTACAGCGTTTGCTTGTTTGACCAGTTCTGTATAGAGGAGAGGAGAATTGGATTACAATTTTGGAGACCTAGTTTCAATTTCCTAATTAGCCATGAAACTCATCACGGGGTAACACAGAGCCTATTATACTCTTTCAGCCTGATCGCCCTCACTGGTTTGTTATAAGGATGTGAGAAGTAGGGAAACTATGTATGCTACTATGAGCAAGATATAAATGTGAGGAAGAAAAGAAAAGATAAATGAAGTTCCCCTGAGGAACCACCACTAGGCTTCCAATTTCTATGAAAATTCCAAAGGAGCCAGTAAATTAATCCATAAATGCAATCTGTCACAGAAACGAAACATGATGAAGAAATCTGCCTAAGGATGTTTGTTCCTCGGTGCCTATCTCAAGCATAGATCACAATAGCTCCAAAGATATAAAGACAATTGTGGTTCCATTCAATAATGTCCAACTGACTGACCCTCTTCCTTATCCAATTTTAAGGTACAAGGAGACCATGTATCAGAGAATGGAAACATTTGTTCATTTAATTACAACTCCCAGAATCCCATAGGCAGGATGGCCACAAGACATGCTGGCTGTGAGAGGTTCTGGCATCTATAATCCAAAAAGCATCCAAAACCATTCAACGTCCTATGTAGTTAATGTTTTCCAATTTGCAGGCCTTGCCTTAGCTTGGCTTGCGTTATGGAGCCAGGGTGTCTCCTTCTCATGCTCACCTAGACTGCATCCTGGACTAGATGCCAGAAATGTGTCAAAAATATGCAAAGCAATTTGGTGGACTTCAGACTGGGTTGCCTGCTGCTCCCATGCAGTTTTATATAGCTTTAGTCTCCTCCACAGCAGGAAATTATGGATCTTCTCTGGATTCTCAAACCTGAAAAATAACCAGGAAAGGAGGCTGCATCAACTCAGAGGTGAACTGAAAAAAATGCTTCTGTTGTAGATATGGGTCAAAGCCTAAATGTGAACAGTAAAATTTTAGCAAGCTGCAAAATACAAACAAATGAAAACAAATGAAAATCCAACCCAACTCACCGAGCCAAGTAGTGAAGAAAACCATCACCATCCCCCAAGTCAAACATCAATGCCTGGAGAAACCTGGTGGTCGTCAGTCTTTCAAAAGGGTCCTCTGGGAAATGCAGCTGCTCAGCTGGAGCAATTCCATGTTTTCCTTTCTTTCTCAATTGCTGAAGCCAAGATGAATGACAGGACAAGAATGGCAAATAGTGACCCATGCTGACTGGGAACAATGAAAGCTGTACATCAGCACATCTGGAGGGCACCACCCTGGAAAACGTTACCTAGCTGCCACCCTTTTCTCAGTCTGAAGAAGGATAACACTGAGTTTTCCACAAACCAGCTATGAGGGGCCACCTCACCATACCAGCTTGTATGAATGTTATGATCAAGTGGGGAACCTCCTCAATCTGTTTTTTCCATATAATATCCATGTAATAAGCATGCCTTGATGGGCTTGAAAGGCTACAGCCTTCTCAGTGGCCAGACTTGTATTCTCAAACAGCTCTCCATCTCAGACCTGGATGGTTTCCTCTCTAATTGTCTTCTGCTGCTTTGTAAATACATTTTTCTTTCCAGCAAGTTTTTTGTTTTATTTCCAGATTTACCAATATTAAGTAACCTTCTTGACGACTGTTTTATCTGTTATGCCTGCCTATATTTTTATTCTGTGGTGTTTTAGTATGTGAATTCAAGTATTGTAAGTGATTTGATATGTGATTTTCAGTATTATAAGCGGCTTTGAATGTCTATATTATAAAAGTTGGATATAAATCTTACGAAGAAATTAAAAAAACAATTGTAGATAATGGGCCATAGACAATTAGCTGCTGGGTGACAATAATCCATTCTATGTTTTCTATTGTAAGATGTACTTATGGTTATGGAACAATAATGGAATAGAAGCCAGAAAAGGCTTATTCAAACAGAGCATTGTTCTCTGATAAATATCTGATTGTGCACTGATTATATTCGTTTTTACTGCCATCCAGATAACACAAGGCTTAAATTCCTACAATCAGTAGCAATAGTTTTTTTATCGATTCATTTAAAAGAGTTTGATTTCTTAGAGTTAAGAGGAATGGGATTAAGTGTGGACAAAAACTGTGGTAAGATTTGTGCTCATTTAGCACCAAACACCACAAAGCAAGAGGAACATATGCTCCATTGGGATATGCTAAAACAAAATAAACCAATTATTTCCCATCTGTAAGGACTGACACACATACCATTTTCTTGTCTTTCTTTCTCTTCAAAGAGCTCAGCATCTCCCTTTGGTCACCCAAACCAGGAAGCAGTGCTGCCGTGTTAAGAGAAGATAGGAGATCAGTACTCAGGAAAAGCTCCTCCTCCATCTGGGGCCTTGAACTAGGTTCAAGCCTAAAGAAGTTTTAAAATAAATGTATGGTATTACCAAATGAAAAGCAGGAGGGAGAGACAGAGAGAGAGAGAGAGAAAGGAAGCAGGGCTTCAATCAATTAATTCTCAGCTTGACTAAAGGCATGATCACACGAGGCAATTGCCTCCACCTGGAAGAGTGGTTAGAAGGGTCTCTTCCTTCACCACCACCACCACCATGTACTTTTCACCTCCCCTGGGGGTCCTCCCACCAGCAGCCTCTGAACTCACAGTACTATTGTTCACCAAAGAAGCTACCCGCACAGGGCTTCTTTTACCTTGCACATAGGCTTTGCCACCTACTGCTCTTCTCACCTCTCCACCTCACACACACATCTGTCCTCGAAGTTACAAAGGCAAGACTACTGTTTTGCCTCCGAAGGAGCATGCTAAGGAAAGGTGACTCCCTTTCTCCCTTGCCCCCCTCTGCTCCCTCTCCCATCCCCCTCCCTGTCACACTCTCGCTGCTGGAGTCGCTATCAGATTGAGGAAGGGTTGCAAAGAATGGGCGGAGAAGTGGATCTTGATTTGATTCCAAAAAGCCTCCACCTACCATCACTTGGCAGAGATGGTCTACTATATCCTAGGTGTTAATCAAGCCCCAGGGAAGACGGGAGAAAATAAATCAATTCCATGGCCATAACATTTCAAATAGGAAGATATGAATTGGTAATGTTAAAATACATTAGAATGGTTGCCCTGGTCACCACGTGATCACAATTCAGTACAATGGTATAAAAAGTACTGTATTGTTAGAATCAGGGAACGTTTCCCTGGTGTGACCATTGCCTTAGAACAGGCCTCAAAGGGCCAATTTACACACTGCCACCACTACATCAGTTTAAAATATTTCATGTGACAGCTCACCACATGGGCATGTTTACAAAACCTTCAGCAAAAAGTCACAAAAGAAAGGATGACTTGATAGTCACCTCTCATAACAAACCTGATTCGGGCGGTCCTTTGGTAGTGAATGAGAAATCGAGGGACCCAGTAGGAACGCAGACGTCTCAAGGCATCATACTGCTTCCGGCTCAAAGCAGCAAAAGCTGTTTCCTCAGGGCCTACAGTTTCACCCAGCACCTTCTACCAGCAAAGGGATAGCAATTATTATTTATTATGTATTTTATTTATTACATTTATAGCCCACCCACTACTCTGGATGGCTAACAACATACCATATAACAATTTAAAATCATAACAATACTGGACAGCTAACAACATACTGTACCATATAACAATTTAAAATCATAACAATAATCACGAAGTAAACAAAGAACCAAGATGGAAGAAAAAAAAACAAGATAACAAAAATTCAGACAGTGGATGGAGGGTAAGAAAACAAGATAATAAAAATTCAGACAGTGGATGGAGGGTAAGATTGTAATGCGATTGTGCAAAATGTACCAAAAGGAAACTGAGACCACTTTATATGTATCTCAACTATTGCTACTGCCATTGACATCTCTTAGATTGCTCCCACCTGATTAAAAGCCTTGTTAAGAACTATGCCTGGAAGGATGGAAGACTGTAACAGTAGGTGGATACCACAGTCCTAAATCTTGTGCTCACCAAAGCTAGAAACCAGACAGACTTTAATGTGTTCAGATGAAGATCTATAGATAAAATTATGAGCATATTTGGTTGAGCGTACTTCCATGATGATGCAGAAAACCACCCAGTACTGTCCTAAACTAACAGCCTAATTAGGGCTTGATCAGATGGGCATTTGTCCGACTGTTCGGTCCACTGTGGGAGTGGATTGATTTCTTAGTTCTGACTACTCAAGCTGTGACCTGGTTTAAAAGAAAGGGCACTTTCACCTCAGCAGGCTTACTCACCTGAAAAGACTGTTCGGTGTGGGAATGGATTGATTTCTTAGTTCTCCCAGGAAGGGAAAGTTCTGACTGCTCAAGCTGTGACGTGGTTTAAAAGAAAGGGCACTTTCACCTCAGCAGGCTTACTCACCTGAAAAGCAGGAAGGACTGTCAGCTTGTACTTGGCTTGAATGTCTCTGCCGACCAAAGAACAAGAGTGTCACCAACAAAAACCCCAAGAAGAGCTATGGCCAGCAGAAACGGTGAGCTCATACTGGCAAACCCTGAACTCTAAATCTGGCAAGGAGCACAACTTTCAGAACAAGGTGCTGCTAACACATCACATGAACACACTGCATAGTTATAATTGTTCCCCAGTCTGGTATCACACAAGCATCTACCAGTGCTTGGAAAAGTTATTTTTTTTTCTGGAGTACAGTTACAAAACTCCCCTTGATAGCATGGCCATGATAGTCAGAGGATTCTGAGAGCTTTAGTCCAAAAAAAAAAAAAAAAATCTGAATCAGGCCCAGTGCTTGGAAAAATTATTTTTTTTCTGGAGTACAGTTACAAAATTCCCCTTGATAGCATGGCCATGCTAGTCAGAGGATTCTGAGAGCTTTAGTTAAAAAAAAAAAAATCTGAATCAGGAAAGTATGGAAACTAGAACAACCACTCAATTCAGGCTAGACCCATAGCTTGTGTACATCATACATGAAGAGAGAATGCATCTTGTCTCTCACTTTCCCCATAACGAATCTTAGACGGCTTGCATCTCCCTTGTTCAGTTGCCTCAGAGACCTCAGGGCCTTAGAGCACGTAAGCCTGGATGCTTGGCATCAATCACCATAATGCACAACTGTGTGTCACCCAGTGTAGCGAACAGCCCTGCCCTCACCTGTCCGTCACAGCTGAGCAGTGGAAAAGGAGCCAATGAGTGGACGGAAGGCGGTGCCAAAGGGGGGAGGGGGCTGGATTTAAAAGGCTGGTGTATGCTCTGGATTTTTTAGTGTCCTGGGACAACCATGTAGCCCCTTCCCTTGGTGGCTGCCGTTGCTCACCATGGTCAACAATACACAACCATCAGCTCTCTAATTTGGTCCTAATCTGTACCACTGCTGAGGAAGAGAGGCCAAGGCAAGTGGTGGTAATTCTCAGTGTCCATTCTCATGACTAGAAGGAGAAGATGAAATTAATTCAAAGGATTTGGTTTGAAGAATTCCATTTGGGCCTAATCTGTGCCACTGCTGAGGAAGAGAGGCCAAGGCAAGTGGTGGTAATTCTTTCTCCATTCTCATGACTAAAAGGAGAAGATGAAATTACTGTAATTCAAAGGATTTGGTTTGAAGAATTCCTTTCCACCCCTACCGGAAGCCACTGGAAAAGAACAGCTGTGTCTCCTTGGGTGAAGCTGTGGCCTCCAAGCATCTTGTGTGCTCCATGAGATCCTCACACTCTATCCAAAAGTCTAGGAGGTGGATCCCCAGCGTTCCATGCAGGAACTGCCTGAAGCTGTCCATGCCAACCCTCTGCAAAGCAAAGGAGAGAGAAGGGAATGAAGGCTGGTGCAGCTCTAACACTCATCCCTCAGGGCTCCAAGATGTTCAGCAGAGGATGCCAGGCCATTGTCATGGGTAGATAAATGTAGCTAGATTTATAAATCATGGCTGAGGCTGTTTAGGCAAACTTCTTCGCCTTCATACGGTTCAGATCCTGTGAGATCTGCTGGAGCCACATCAGCAAAAGTGTCAGAACACAGCAAGCAGAGTGTTGTAGTCCAACATGACGGACAAAAAACAACCACACCAGTAAAGAGGCCAGCTAATATTACAGTACATATGGTTTGCCAAGTTTGCTGAAAATCACTTGGCTAGGAAGACACATTCAGTTTTTTGTTTTTTGTTTTTTTGGTTGGGCACACCAAGAAATATATGACCTAGCAGGAGTATACTCTTCTGTTACTTGTAAATAATTTCAGTCCAGACAAAGGATTCCTAGCACCATCACTCAAAGAGATTGTGTGCCTATCCTGTCTTTTCTCTCTTAACAATTTTCTTTCTTTCTTTCTTTCTTTCTTTCTTTCTTTCTTTCTTTCTTTCTTTCTTTCTTTCTTTCTTTCTTTCTTTTTTCATTCACAAAATGGAAGAAGTGGAAAAACACAGGTAGTTATGCACAGAAAGCAATTATGACTAGAGCCGCATAAAATTCTGTGTATTAGGCTCTGCCACTGAAAGATAAATGCTTCCTCTGGAAGCAGTCCAGGATCTCCTATTAAGATTTTGTTTGAATTTGCATTCTCCAGTATGCATGTCCAGCTACTATTGTGGCATCCAGAAAGATTTTACTGCAATGTCGACAAGAAAAGAGACACTTGGTGTTAGAAAAGTCGAAAGGGGTTTTTTGGATACCCACTGCTTAGACTGGGGCAATTCCCCCCCCCCATGACTTTGAAAAGCACCACATGGTGGGCATTCACATGGATAGGAAGGTTGAGAGTGCCAGAGGGAGAGACAGAAGCAGGACAAAGTAATGTGTCTCTCAGCCAAGCTTCTTGACAGGATGCCATGCTACTTACAGTCCCTAAAACATCTTCTTTGAGTGGCTGCAGAGCTGCAGTTCCAAAGCCTTGAGAGTAACACAGATCTAGCTGCTCTTCCTTGGAGTTGGGTGTTTCATCCAGGTCAAACTGCAAAGTCTTCCTGGGTTCTGAGATTGTCTTTCCATAACTTTCAAAGGAAGGAATAGAACAGCATGTAAAAAATAAATCATTGATGTGGATGGGTATTTATTGCAGTACAATCTAGTATCATATCCATCTCTTGCTCTCACCTTTGATCTTGAAGCTGCATGGAATACCTTCCAAACACAGAAAAATTATGTCTATATTCACTATTAAAAGTGAACAGCACTATATGCAATGCTTTGCAGATAACATATTTCTCAAATTTCTTGTCTATGGCATGAGGATGTTGTGCATTAACTTTTAGAACACTATCCAAGAACTTCAGATGCTTAAAAAACCAAACCAATTGCCATTTTTTCAGTTATGAAAGAGCTCAAAGGTCATTTATTCAGCTACCAATTTACACAAATTGTGAGAAACACTGCAAAGGTCAGAGGACTTCAAGCTATATTTAGCAAGGCAATAATCTTTAGTTTACAGATGCAAGTTAAGAATGAACATGCTCCTACAAAACATTCAGCAATCTAAGGCAAGCTAAGCCAAGCTGAAGATGTGCACCTTTAGATTTACTATTTATCTTTAATGAGTTCAAAGTGGCATATAAGTCTTTCTTCCTCCCTACTTTACCTCCACAACAACTTTGTTGGGTAGCACATTCTGAGAGAAAAGGACCAACCCAGGTTATCCATTGAGTTTCATGGCATAATGAAACATTGAATTCAGTGGGAACTTGATCTGGATCTTTCCATTAACATTGACCTCTCTGAGTTCATATCTTCACAGGTCAAGCTTTCAAGCATCTGTTAGAAAATTAAATCTAGTCTGATATCTTCGTCATGACACTTTTTAAAGCCCCGCTTACCCATCCATGTGAAGCTCAGTGAAGTCTTGCTTAAGTGAGGAGACAGGAAGAGCAGCTCTGCTCTTAGGAATTAGAGATACCCTGGGCTCTCCAGCACTGGCCCCACCACTTCTGAGCCTTCCTGCAGTGAGAGATCATATCAAGATTAAGATCAAATTACACTGCCCTGAAGGCAGTGTAATGGCATCCTCTTCCAGACAGCTTCTGTCCAATTTTTTACTGCATCTAAGCAGAAATGCATTTGGCAGAACTGTGCTTAAGGATGCCTCTATCTGTGAGCAAGTTTGAAAGTGGCTGAAGATAGATTTTATCAACTTTGCCTGAAATCGTGTTGCGCAGTTCCACCTCTACAATGACAATGGTGATATCCACTACCACTGCTTAAAGCTGCCCTTTTGCAATTTTGGAGAGCACACAGCTCACACCCAATGTGACAAAGTGAAGTACACCTCAAGATCATAAAGAAAGAGAGAGGCTTTAATCAGCGGTAATCTGACTCTCTTGGTGGCATCCCTCTTCACTGGGGAGACTAACTCTGCCCCACACAATTTTGGCCTTTCTGTAGTCATGAAGATGTCTACCTAAAAAGGAAGCACCTCAGAGGTTGTAGTACAGCAGAGATGTTAACAGTACAAATAGATTAAAAGTTCAAAGAAAACACTAAGGGCATTTATTTATTTAAAATATTTTTACCCCACCTTTCTCCTTAAAAGACAAGAAAAGGCCAATAGCTTTCTAATACGTGGTCAAATCGCTTTGCATTCTTTAGTACTCATCTCCAAAAACAGCTTAAACCAGGAATGGACAACTTGTGGCCTTCACAATGTTGAACTGCAACTGCTTCTGAGCCTTCCTGCAGTGAGAGATCGTATCAGAATTAAGATCAAATATATGAGCCCTGAAGGCAGTGTAATGACATTTATTTATTTATTTATTTTTCTGTCCAATTTTTTACTGCATCTAAGCAGAAATGCATTTGGCAGAACTGTGCTTAAGGATGCCTCTATCTGTGAGCAAGTTTGAAAGTGGTTGAAGATAGAGGACCTCTCCACAGAGCTTGGAAAAAGTTTTGGGTTTTTTTTTCTTTTTGTATTTTTTTAAATTACCACTCCCAGGAATCACCAACAAGAAAAGGCCAATAGCTTTCTAATACGTGGTCAAATCGCTTTGCATTCTTTAGTACTCATCTCCAAAAACAGCTTAAACCAGGAATGGACAACTTGTGGCCTTCACAATGTTGAACTGCAACTCCCAATACTGGTCACCATTGGCTATACTGGCTTAGATGGATGAGAATGGCAGTCCACCAACATATGAAGGCCACAAATACACCATTCCTGCCTTAGGCCTGGTTCATAAACCACTTGTGACATTTTATTGCTGTTCGACATCATTAAACAAAGTAATCTTTGCAGTTAACAAATTTACAGAGGACCTCTCCACACAGCTTGGAAAAAGTTTTGGGGTTTTTTTCTTTTCGTATTATTTTAAATTACCACTCCCAGGAATCACCAAACAGCATGGCTACTTGCCCAGTTGACAGGGATGTATGCATTACTGTAATTGTAATCCCAAAATAGTAATTTTTACATATTCTGTCCTCCTTCTTAGATTAAGTCTTTGACTTGATTCTCTTCCAAATACAATATAAGATGAATTTGAGGCCTCTCTTCTTCATTCTGCTCAGTAGGGCCTTGGATTTCTACCTCAATAACATCAGCAGCATGACAAAAGTAAAGCAGCATTTTACTGGGGAATTGGGGAGTAGGAGAGGACAAATTTAACAGATTCAGAAAAATTGTTTCAGAATGTTGCTAATGGTCAAAGACGGAGCAGGCCAGAGACGACTTGCACATTTGTAAATGTAATAGTATGAAGTTCCTATTTACAAAAGAAAGCGACCCAAGTTACATTTGGCTTTCGGACTTCTCGTCAGTCTGGCAACTAACTGTGCAGTCCTTGAAAACTTGAACTGGGCCATAGTATTTCTGCCTCTGTTCCTCTCAACTAAGCTGCAGGCTTCTCTCACCACTTGAGCTTTCTATGCTGGATCCAGATAAGAGACTCTGTAGCTGTAGGCTGCTCAGACGTTCTGAAGCTGGAGACTGGCCCAAACTCAAGACACTTGAAGACTCCAACGAGAAGCCAACAGTGATTCGGCCAGGTAAGCTTGCAAAGCGGTCTGAATAAAAACATACACACAGAAGGTTCAAAAGGTGGGAAAGAAAAAAAACATAAAGTGTGATGAAGACTGGTCTTCCACCTCAACGTGGAGGCCCAGATATTTGATCTAAATCATGATACATTATCTCACTAGAAGAAGGCTGAGAAGTGGTGGAGCCACTGCTGATGAACCAAGAATATCTCCAGTTTGTAAGAGGAGAGCTGCCGCCACCTCCTTAGCATGGATCAGACAGGAGTGCCATAAAATAGCAGTGAAGATTCCATCTCCTTCCAAATACTAGGAACAATGTCCAAACTGGCTTTAACTGGCTTTTTAACCAAGCAGCACCTACATGTGATCTTCTGTTCAGCTGACATAGAGATTGCTGTGTTCTTCCCTATGCATCTTCTTTGTCACTTCAAGCAGTATCCTAACCCCTCCGAAAACAATAGACAAATCTCGGAGCTTTTAACCTGCTTCTAAACTCATGCTTTCATATCCTTTATTCCTTAGTGAGCCCAGAATCAATTAGAGATCAATAGAGCTGAAAACATGATAATATTCCAGAGATGTGATTTATTTGTTTGTTTGTTTACATTTATATGATATTCCAGAGATGTGATTTGTTTGTTTGTGTGTTTGTTTACATTCATATCCTGTCCAATTAGTAGGCAAGCTACTACTCTGGGCGGCTAACAGAAGGACACAAAACCATAAAAAATAGCAACAACAGCAACAGCAATAATAATAGTAACAACAACAACACAAGAGTGAAAATTAATGGCACACTGACGGCAGAAGGGATACTTAAAATTGAGGCACTTTCTCTACATATGAAACCAGACTTCACAGGAATCCAGTGCTTGTGTCTTGCAGATCAACGAAGAAACACAGCAAACTAATCTGCATAATCCTGGAGGTAATAGAAGCTCCCTATTTGCTGTTCAGAGCTTCACCCAAACTTCTCTCGCCAATTCTCTTCCAGTTGTGGGCTGTTTCTGGCCTGAATTTGCCATCATGTTTTAAAAATCCATCTGTCTACAAGGATAACATTTGTTTTATTTGGTGTGGTTTTCTGTCTTTTTACTTCTTCCCCAGTCCCTCAAATTTTCTAAGAAGTGGGTCCTTCATCAAAGAAAAGAAAAGAATGATATGTTTTATTGTAAGCCGCCCTGAATAGACATTGTCTAGAAAGGCGGGATATAAATCAAATAGATAGATAGATAGCTAGATAGATAGATAGCTAGATAGATAGATAGCTAGATAGATAGATAGCTAGATAGATAGATAGCTAGATAGATAGATAGCTAGATAGATAGATAGCTAGATAGATAGATAGCTAGATAGATAGATAGCTAGATAGATAGATAGCTAGATAGATAGATAGCTAGATAGATAGATAGCTAGATAGATAGATAGCTAGATAGATAGATAGCTAGATAGATAGATAGCTAGATAGATAGATAGCTAGATAGATAGATAGATGAAAGAAAGAAAGAATGAATGAATGAATGAATGTCCTGTGTCATTCTCTTACAATGCCTGTCACTAAATTTTGTTTAGTTCTGCTAATCTGTCACAAACAATGGGAAGAAACTGGAAAACTTCTTTATGAGCTTATTCACTTGCCAAAGCAAAGAAAGTTAGCAATTTATTTTGGGGCTCTGGCAGATGATGTCATCTAGCTCTTAAAAAAAAAAAGAAATAGAAAAGTCCTGGAGCTGCCACAAAACTCATCCACTACACAGAACTTGCTTAAAAAGAGGCATCTCTCCTTATGCCTGTGCCTGGTGAAAGACAGAGGATACAGAGAATTATTAATTATTAATTATTTCTGTCATTTGAAGGCCACTTTTTTCTGTTCAACTGACCCAAGGCAGCACACATGACAATGATCTTCAGGATAAATTGAACTGCTATATAGATGAGCTTATTCACTTGCCAAAGCAAAGAAAGTTAGCAATTTATTTTGGGGCTCTGGCAGATGATGCCATCACTCTAGCTCTTAAAAAAAAAAAGAAATACAAAAGTCCTGGAGCTGCCACAAAACTCATCCACTACACAGAACTTGCTGAAAAAGAGGTATCTCTCCTTATGCCTGTGCCTGGTGAAAGACAGAGGATACAGAGAATTATTAATTATTTATTATTTCTGTCATTTGAAGGCCACTTTTTTCTGTTCAAGTGACCCAAGGCAGCACACATGACAATGATCTTCAGGATAAATTGAACTGCTATATAGTTGTGTATTTTTTAAAAAATGGGGGGGGGCACAGTTGGTAAAAAAGGGAAAACAGAGTGGCCTTTCCACTGACTAGAAAAGACACAGAGCGTATCCACACTGTGAAATTTGGTGTGATCCAACCAGTACTTAAAAGTTCCTTATCTTCAGTGCAATCTATTTTAACTCAAGCACCTATCTGTGAAGGCAGAACAAAGAGGCATTTTACATCTCAGTGTATCATCATTTGTATCATCCTTGCATGTGAGGACAAGGAATTGCAACCTTTTTTTCCTCACCCATGACGGTTGTGATGAATTTCCGGATGTTCTTAATAGAGTTCCCATTTTGGTGAGATTAATATTTCGTGCAAAATTGCCAGTTTTTGAATGAATAGCACAAATTCCCCAAAGCCAATATGATTTGTGCTTTAAGAATTTGAATCACTGGATAGGTTAGTTGTTTGTGCCTTTCTTATCAATCAGCTGGTTCTCCTGTACCTACTGCATGTTTTACTTCTCGTAGGGGACGGACAGTAGAGAATTTTTGCACAAATCACAGAGATACATAAGGCAAAAAGAACAAGAGCTTTTGTCTCAATCTCAGCTGGGAAAGAGGAATCTTAAGGGGATTTAAAATTCTACTTGGCAGTGTGTCTGAATATCAAGGCATTCTAAATCCATGAAAAGGAGGGATTTAGTGAACCTCCAGATGTTGTCAAAGTACAACTCCTGTCATCTCTCATCCTTGGCTATGATGGCTAGGGTTAATGAGAGCTGCAGTGAAGTTGACATGGGAAGGGCAACACATTCTCCAACTCTCATGCAGGAGCAGCAGACAACAGCTGTAAGAAACTCACCTAGGTAGGCTGGGGTACTCCGTGTTTGACTAGGAAATCTTAACAGCATGTGGCTTGGGATTCCAGTGGATTGTACCCATGTTGACGAATGGCTGGGGATGCTGGAAACAGCAGTGCTGTCAGACTGGCGACTGTAGCCACGGATTGCATAGCGGTTCACTGGATAGCTCTCATCCAGTGGACATATTAGCAACTTTGCCAATTTGTACTCCAAATAAAAGACAGTCCTATGTAGAGACAGGTAGCAAGTGAGCTTTAAAAGGGCCATGGGCACTCTAGTCTTTGATTCCTCCTTAAAAGGGCAATGCACACCTCTTCTGTATGCTGTTTCTGTCCATTCTCCCTGCCCCCATCCTGAAATGAATACTGTTTAGTCACAAGACTTTGATGTGTTGTTCTTAAAGTGCATATTTTCTTTCATTTTCCCAAGTTTTTATTTTTCTTTCACCACTTTCAATGGTGACATGTGAATTCCCCATTTCATATGAAGGATATACAGTATAGGTCTATCACTCTACCCTTTTGAGTGCCATGGCCTCATTGCTCTGCCCTTGGTGGTGTTGGAAATTCACACATACCCCAATCGAGTTTGTTTTTACAGATTTGTCTAAAGACATGCCTACAGTGGGGTCTTGACTTAAGAACGGCTTGAGTTAAGAACATTTTGACTTAAGAACCGCTCTCATAGGAAAATATTGACTTGACTTAAGTACTTAGATTTGAGTTAAGAACTGAAAAAAACCACGTGGGAGGCAGGGAAAGTGCAAAATTTGAACTTTCAGTTAACTGTTGGCCAGTGAAAAGGGTGCCTGTCTGCTTCCTCACTCCTCCCAGCGTTTAGAGAGTGGATTGCGAGACAGTCTTCAGACTGCCTGGTACTGTACTGCCTGGACTGTATTTTCCCTGCCTTCCCTTTAAAGTACATATTTCCTTTCATTTTCCCAAGTTTTTCTTTTCCTTTCCCCACTTTCAATGGTGACATGTGAATGACCCATTTCATATGAAGGATATACAGTATAGGTCTATCACTCTACCCTTTTGAGTGCCATGGCCTCATTGCTCTGCCCTTGGTGGTGTTGGAAATTCACACATACCCCAATCGAGTTTGTTTTTACAGATTTGTCTAAAGACATGCCTAATTCTGAATTATTAATTTCTTTACACATATCTGACTGCAGTGTTTTTTTAAAAAACTATTCTCATTGTGGTTACGTTTTTGAATAATTAATTTCTTTACACATATCTGACTCCAGTGTTTTTTTAAAAAAAACTATTCTCATTGTGGTTACGTTTTTTCCTCTCAAGTCACTGCAAAATGGCTGTTCATGCTTTCCACTGAACAGTGATCCCTGCCTTTAAATGTTAGATGCCCAAAGGCTGACCTGTGCTCCTGTTGAGTAAGAAAAGCACTAATACCTTCTTACTCTTTGGAAGAGTAAGAGTAGTAACTCCTTACTCTTTGGAAACTTGCATGTCTTGCAAAACAAACATAAGAATTATTTGGACTCTGAGCCCAAATGGTGTTGCTGAAACCAATAATGGAGCGCAGTGAAACTTTGGATGAAATTAAGGACTGCAGATAGTTCTACTGTTGTAGCTGCAAATGTGAGCAGCTGCTATATATTATTTTCTTGGAAGAGGCTGGTCTGAATAATGGGCTCTTACAGATTATGTGGCATTTAATGGCCATAACCATCGTAAGATTAGAAGAAGAAAGTAAGTTAGAACTTCATCCACACAGCCTCCTTCCATGCAATGCCTCCATCAGATGTTAAAAACGTACGCTTTCAACAACAACCATCTCTTTGAGGCATATAAAATCCCACTCTCAGTGGCAGAAGACGAAGCCCAGAGAATATCTGCAAGCCAGCAACTCAGTGGGACAGCACATAGCGTCAATCATGAAATAAGAAGGAAAGAGAATGAACAGAGGTCTGGGACGCCACCTTTGGAATGGGAGGAGACGTTCCTGTGCTAACCAGGCCAGGGCTCTTTCCCTTTCTGCATCAGTCACTCCATAGCAAGGAGAACTTGGCTCAACGTCCATCTGGTTGAGAGGCTCCGAAAAGAAGCCATCAAGCTCCTGCAGCCGTCCTGTCAGTCGGTCATAATGCAGTCGAAGCGGGAAAGCCTACTTGGAAGATTTAAAAAAAACTTCCCTTTAGGCAAGAAAGGACAGAGGGGTTTTTGTTTGTTTGTTTGTTTTCTTTTTTTTTTTTTTTTTTTTTTTTGGACCACAGCTCCCAGAACCCACCATAACCAGCAATTTCAAAAGGTCGAAATTGGCAAAGGTCGAAACTTTACTCACAGGCAGAGCTAGAAAAGCATTGAAAGATTCCAGAAAGAGATCATCATATGTCAGCAGCTCCTCTAGAAGCTCATGCCCTAAAACACAAATCAGAAACAAATTCAAGGCAATAATGTGAGAAAGGCAGTTAGGAATCTTGGCAGAATTTTTAAAAGTATCCATTTAATGTTGATGTGTTTGAGCTTGTTTGCTTGCTTGTTGAGAAGCCACAGCTGTATCTGTGATGTTGTGGGTTGTGTAAATGCTGGACAGTGTTTATATACAGTATATCACAGAAGTGAGTACACCCCCTTACATTTCATAAATATTTTAGTATATCTTTTCATGTGACAACACTGAAGAAATGACACTTGGCTACAATGTAAAGCAGTGGGTATACAGCTTGTATAACAGTGTAAATGTGTTGTCCCCTCAAAATAACACAACACGCAGCCATTAATGTCTAAACCACTGTGAGTACACCCCTAAGTGGCAATGTCCAAATTGGGCACAAAGTGTGTGGCCACCATTATTTTCCAGCACTGCCTTAACCCTCTTGGACAAAGAGTTCACCAGAGCTGCACAGGTTGCCACTGGAGTGCTCTTCCACTCCTCCATGACGACATCACAGAGCTGGTGGATGTTAGAGACCTTGCACACCTCGACCTTCTGTTTCAGGATGCCCCACAGTAGTTCAATAGGGTTTAAGTTTGGAGACATGCTTGGCCAGTCCATCACCTTTACCCTCAGCTTCTTTAGCAAGGCAGTGGTCATTTTGAAGGTGTGTTTGGGGTTGTTATCATGGTGGAATACTGCCCTGTGGCCCAGTCTCCGAAGGATCGTGCTCTGCTTCAGTATGTACTTATTGGAATTCATGGTTCCATCAATGAACTGTAGCTCCCCAGTGCTGGCAGCACTCATACAGCCCCAGACCATGACTTTCCCACCGTCATGCTTGACTGTAGGCATGACACACTTGTCTTTGTACTCCTCACCTGGTTGCTACCACACACGCTTGACACTATCTGAACCAAATAAGTTTATCTTGGTCTCATTGGACCACAGGATGTGGTTCTGGAAATCCATGTCCTTAGTCTGGTTGTCTGCAGCAAACTGTATGTAGGCTTTCTTGTGCATCATCTTTAGAAGAGGTTTCCTTCTGAGATTACAGCCCTGGAGACCAATTTGGTCTTGAACAGGCAATGGATAAACCTTGTGGCACAGTAGTTGAACAGTAATACCTCATAACCTGAGGCTCAGATAGCTGACTGAAGGCTGAGTCAGCCTTCCATACTTCCAAGGCTGGTAAACTGAGTACCCAGCTGGCAGGGGTAGGGGATGTGTAGCCTGCATAATTAAATTGTAAACTACCCAGTTAGTGCTTCTATGGGGAAGCATATAAACAGCACACTTTACTTTTTATACTTTTACTGGGAAACATTATTTTTAGGACTTGACTGTTGCTGTTTAAATTTGACCCCTTGGTATGTGCAGCCCCAGCAATGCTAAGAAATAAAAAGTATAGTAGTAAATATCGGTCCCACTCAGTTCCAAGGAATAGTGGTTGGTAGGCAACTGCCTCTCAGAACCTAAACATCCATTCAGAACAGCAGAAGAGAAGGAACCAACATATAGCTTCTCAACATTCCCTAAATGAACAGACATATTTTTATATTTCAGATGAATATATCCAGACCAATTACACACACACACACACACACACACACATACATACACATATATACACATACACACACACATATATATACATATACAGTATACACATACATACATACATACATACATACATACATACATACATACATACACACACACACACACACACACACACACACACATACATACATACATACATACATACATACATACATACATACATACATACATACGTTACTAATTACAGTTGTATGTCATTTTTAATCCAATATATCCAATGCAGCTCTTCTCCTCCCCATTTTATCTTTGTAACAAACTTCTGAGGTAAGTCAGCCTAAGAGGAAGATGGGGTGGCCTGAAGTCACTGTGAGGATTTCCTGGCTTGAACCTAGGACTTGAACCTGAATTTCCAAACTTCTCAACCAGCAGCACTCTAAACACTGCACTACATTGACTCTTAATCGGCTTTTTCGTGAGCAACTTTGCTTTTCTGAAGAGAAATTGCACAGTGGGAAGATACGGAAGAAGGGAAATTGCTATTAGCATTCTGTGACTATAGCTCCATTCTCATTCTGCCCCTCATCATGAAGGAAATCTCAGAAGCTTACCATTATCTCTCTCCTCCAGTTATTATACCAACCTGTCCCAGGGGACTCAATCCTTGGTTCATCTTCTGGTATGTACATTTCAAGAGAGGTGGTGGTTTCCTTTCTTTCACACTCCCTGTCCTGCTCCCACTTGCTTACCCGCAACAGATACTCCGTTTACTAAGGAAATGTGTACAAAGTTGGTGGCAACTGTGTCACTGGGTGGGGCAAGGTAGGTTTCTCAGTCTTGCCAGGTATCTATTTGTCCCCAGGAAAGAAACCTCAACAGGTGGCTTCTAGGTAAAGCACTGAGTACTCCTCAGCCAATTAGGATGAGATTTAGGCACTTCCTTCTAACAAACAGTACTTGGCAAGCTAAGAAGTTTCATTCTTACTGCTCCTCCTGAACAGCAGAACAAATCATGGCATCTTGGATTTGCAGCCTTCTTTGCTCCAGTGCCAGCCAACCCTCCAAATAGTAATAAAAATGTTTGGCCATATCTACATAGAAAGGCTTTCATTTGGTGTAATTTTCATAGATGCTGTTTATAGTAACAATACAGTTGTAAACTGCTTGGCTTCTTCTTTCAAGGTCCCATGTTAGGAAAATGCTGATGCCCACACACACTGAGTTATTTAGAAGCATGGGCTTACCCTGAGGATACATTGGAATGGTTTCCTTCCTGTCATTCCCTCAGGATAGCTTTTGGCATTTTTTGCCACGCCATAGGTGAGCTGCTACAAATAGCTTTTGGGTGGTTGTGTTCCACAAAGATAAAATAATGCTGAAAAGCTGTGTATCAATGATTTGATCCAAATACATGGAAAGACCTGTTGCCACCGATCACCAGAAAAACACTGAGCTGCTCTTAAAATTAACCATCTCCTGAAAACTATGTCGCTGTACATCACCATAGGTTGCTATGAAATTCTTTCTCTATGCTGTTCTGATTCCCCATGTGAAAACTACTCCATAAATACCATCAAGCTTGTGCAAAGCATCATCTCCAGAAAGCAAACAAAATCTGTGTTCCATTTTAATGTACAGTCAATACTGAAACATACCAGTAGGTGACAGCCTTGAATTTTCCGTCTTGTCTTTGCTTTTACCTCAGATCACTGTACAGAGCAAGCAGTTCCCTCATTGACAAATTATTACTTTCATAAAATCACTGGTTTAGTCTGTAGACTTGGTAAAAACGATTTTCCAAATATTTTAATGAGCAATCATTGTTCTTGCATTGACTTAGAGGTTCTTATTCTAACAGTGTATTGTATCCTAGAATGTTAATAGTTCCATAGATGTTTTAAAACATTTATATCCTGTTTTTCAGCTCAACGCTGAGGTACCTGAAGTAGCTTATAGACAAAGTTTTAAAACAAAGTGATTAAAAGATTAACATACAAACAAACACGAAGAAACAAAATCATGAATCATTTATACAAGTTCACGTTTGTAAGAACATCCAACCTGCAACAACGTCAGGTGCCAGCCAAACCATTACTCGGCATCCTTCAATCTCGAGGTACTATGGTAATGTGCTCTGAATGTGCGCTGTCTTGGAACAGTGTCTAGTGTAGCTGAGAAGGCCAAGAATGACAATCCTTTCCACACTGACGACAAATAGAATCTGTCCCCTGTCCAGCTCCCTGATTTTGCTTGTTTCAGGACTGCTTCTTTGCCTCGGCCTGCTGGACAAGTGTCTCTTCAAAATGGGAGAGGCCATGATGCACTGCCTGCCTCCAGGCTGAATGCTCAGATGTCAAGGTTTCCCATCTGTTGAGCTCCATTCCTAAGGCCTTCAGATTCTGCTTGCAAATATTCTTGTATCACAGCTGTGGTCTCCCTCTGAGGTGCTTTCCCTGCAATAATTTTCCAGACAGGAGATATTTTGGAATTCAACTGTCAGCCGTTCTGACAACATGCCCAAGCCAGTGTAGATACAGCTGTTTCAGTAATGTATACATGCTATAAATTCCAGCTCATTCCAGGACTACTCTACTTGGAACTTTGTCCAGCCAAACCATATGCCTCTTGAAATGTACATGATACCTCAGATTACAGAGTTTACAGGGCCTAAACGTACAACAGGAATATAAAGTATCAGCTGCAGCTCACAAATCTAGTTATGCTGCTAACAGCTGCTCCTCCAACACCACAATTCAAAAGCATCAATTCTTCGGCGGTCAGCCTTCTTTATGGTCCAATTCTCACTTCCATACATCGCTACAGGAAAAACCATAGCTTTGACTATGCGGACTTTTGTTGGCAAGGTGATGTCTCTGCTTTTAAATATGCTGTCAAGGTTTGTCATCGCTTTCCTCCCAAGAAGCAGGTGTCTTTTAATTTCCTGACTGCTGTCACCACCTGCAGTGATCATGGAGCCCAAGAAAGTAAAATCATCACCCCACAACAGGGTGCAGGCTGGCTTTCTTGTGCTTTTCTGCTTCTGCTTTGGCTTTGCAGTAAATACGAATATGTCCTCTGCAGACCTGCATTTTCTTCTTAGATCTTCAGGCAGCATCCACCTGAGGCTTGCAGGGGGTCCTAAGGGGCACAGTGGCTTGGAAAAACCCACAGGCCCATGGAAGTATCCTTGGGAGCACAAGCACCTTTTGGCTTTCACTGGTGCCTTTTGGCTTTTTGCCTTTGGGGGGCGACTGGGGACAGGGGGGCTGCTTTTCCTTGTCCTCCATCTTCTCAAAGACTCGCCGGACTCTGCAAAGAGCTGCAGGCACACGCAGAAGTCCCCCAAAACAACTGCTGTGGTGTTCCAGCAACCTCTCTCCAGGGCCGTGGGGGCGACACGTCACTTCAGGGCCAATCCTGGTCATGTGGGACCCTCCAGCTATCAACCCCTCCTATAGCCCCACAGTGGCCTCACCAACCCCCACGTCACCCCTATGCCCCACTCACCCAGGAGGAGGGCCCTGGGTTGATTCTACATCACCCCTATGCCCCAGTCACCCAGGAGGAGGGCCCTGGGTCGATTCTTGACCCTTTGTCCCACCCCTCAGGGGCGGCGCACCTGTCAAAATTGATTTTGATGAGTGTCAGGTATTCTTACTACTCTGGTGGAGCTGCTATAATAGGGGAGTTATATGATCCCTGTGACTTGCTCCCGTTAACAATCTAGCTGCTACATTTTGGACCCGTTGAAGTTTCCTGACACTTTCCATTGGCAATCCCACACAGTGTGCATTACAGTAATCCAGCTGAGAAGTAACTAGGGTGTGTGTCACTCTATTCCTCTCTTCTGGTTCACTAGATACCTCTTAGAAACCATGGACCTCTTTTCCTTTAGGGACCCCTACTAGGAAGATTGCCTTACCATATATATCAGCAGGTCAAGGAGGCCTTATCTGTTGAAATAAGAAGTGCATAGATTCATACTCATCTAGTGTTTTCTGGTGACACACAATCTCTGGATTGACTGCATGGGGGAAAGGGTGCAGAGAGAAGACGGGCATCCTGCTAATATAAGTACACAGGTTTAGTCTTGTGTTCTTCCAGTTGTTTATTCTGAACAACTAGAACAACTTCCAATTGCTTATTTTGAACAACTAATTCCCCTGGTTCTCAGACTTTCTAAACCACATTTTCTAAGAATTAATGACCAGCATCGTAAGATCTCACTGTTCAGGGGGATTCTGCCCCCTCCTTCAGCCTCCTTTGCTCAGCCAGCCAACCTCTAAACAGCTTGTCAGATATCCAGCCAGGACTTTGTGCTAGGAAGGTGAGTGAGAAAGAAGCCCATCTGTTTCACATGGCAGCATGACCAGCAGAGGCCCACGGGAATTCATGCACTGACAGAGACCTGCCTTCTGGGGGTAGGAAAGAACACAGATAGGCTCTCACAGATGCAGTAAGAAGAGAAGTGACAAAGCTCCAACCGCCATCAACATGATTCTCTCCTCAAAAGGACAGGAGGACCTAGCAGGTTAAAGCACTCTTTAAGCTACCACTTAGAAGCAAGCAGGAACAGTGGAGATAGAGCAGAGATTCAAGCTGAAGGTAAAGCTTCCAGTGTAGAATAGCTAAATTGTACCACGACACCAGGCAAGAGCCAAATGAGGCTCTGGGGCCACATGTAGCCTGCGGCACTGTTTTTAGGTCCCCAGCTCTCTTTCTCTCTTCCTCCCTCCCCACTTTTCCTGGCAGAAAAGGTGGATGGTGCTCCTGCAAGTTTTCTGGAGTGGTGATTAACCCTCTAAAGAGACCATAGCCCCCTCCATAGCCCTGTTAGTGTTAGTCTGTGAAAGCATATCCAGACAAAAATTAAAACAACCAAAATACCCCCAAAATATTGTAGCTTCTTAAAAACGGACTTGTCTGTTCTGATCTTTTGTGGATACATCCACTTCTTCAGACATATTCATATTCTTCAGACATATGTTTGAAGAAGTGAATATATCCTTGAAAGCTCACATTGAAATATAATGGCTAGTCTTTAAGGTGCCACAACATTTTTGGGGTATTATTTTGGGGGGTGATATGTTTTGTGCAGAACAGCTCACCCTCTTCAGTTCACCTCTGTCTTAAAGTGGTTGGGATGACAAGCCATGCTATAAAGTCCAATCCATATGGATGGAAGACTGGGAGACTTGAGACAGCAGACAGCTGGGGAACCTTAAAGTGTCTCTGGGGCATCTGAGAATAAGGTGGAACAACCTTACCTAATCTGACAAGAAGGAGACAGAAAATATCAAATGTAAAGATTTGTACTCATATTGGAAATCGTCATTTAGTCATTTAGTCGTTTCCGACTCTTCGGGACCCCATGGACCAGAGCACGCCAGGCCCTCCTATCTTCCACCGCCTCCCGGAGTTGTGTCAAATTCATGTTGGTAGCTTCGATGACACTGTCCAGCCATCTCATCCTCTGTCGTCCCCTTCTCCTCTTGCCCTCACACTTTCCTAACATCAGGGTCTTTTCCAAGGAGTCTTCTCTTCTCATGAGATGGCCAAAGTATTGGAGCTTCAGCTTCAGGATGTGTCCTTCCAGTGACAGTATTGGAAATAGAGGACTATAATTGCCTTGCCCGTTAGGTCTGCTACATCTCACGATCAAAGCCACGTTTTCTAATTGAAAGCTGAG